TTATAATATATTAGCATAATATAAGTATAATATTTTTGTCTCATTTGTTTAATTGGATTCTCATTGTCAACTTTTAGGACTTCTGAAAATCTGATGATGTTTTAGGTCATCTTTATGGAGATATATAGAAAATTCACAAACTTTCAAGCACCACTGTGTATAGATAGCTTATAATGCTAGCTAGTAAAGTAATGGACTAATCAGTGCAAAGAATCTGTTGTTTGATGTGCATGCTGGGAGGCACGGTGGCTTAGTTTAGCATGTTCACCTCTCACCTCCAGGGATGGAGGATTGATTCCCACCGCCACCCGTGTATATGCAGAGTTTCATGTTATCTACGTGCTTCCCAGGTACTCTGGTTACCTCCCCAAGTCCAAAGACATGCACCGTAGGCTGATTGGCAAATTGTCTGCAGTGTATGAATGTGTGTGTGATTGTGCCCTGCGAAGGGTTGGCACCCCGTCCAGGGTGTCCCCTGCCTCGTGCCCTGAGTCCCCTGGGATATTCCCCAGGCTCCTCGTGACCCTGTGTTGTATAAGGTACAGAACATGGTACACCCTGGATTTGCACATTAAATGCTACCCTTGTTGGAAGATAAGCAAAGCAAGCTAAATGGACTAGCTACATATACACCAAAGGAACCACCAATCTATGCTAATCTATGCTTTAAAGCTGTGTCTATACACACTTAATAACAGGTAATATATGACACCATGCTAATAATTTTGTCTTCCTTATTTGTTCATCAAACAGTGAAAGGGAACTAACTGCAGGTAGGATCCAAGTCATAGGTTTGATCAGAGTCACACTTAATAATTTACATAGATCTTAGAAAGTCTGTATTCAAAGTTTGCTTGTCACTGAAATCGTGGCTCTGTGTCACACATTTACATAGAGAATGAATGGTAGTGTGTCACCTTGTCGCTTGCCAGGGTGAACGTAGAGTAAGAAAAGCATAAATAGTTCAGATAAAATGTTGGATAAGCTACATGAAAATACCTTTGGTACGAAATTCTCACGTCACATCTCTGTCTCATTCTAAGACCTTCATTATTAGAGTGGAACAGAATTTGCTTTACGTCTCACTTAAATTGAGACTGGGTTGAATATGAGACTGGGTGTGTGTGTGTGTGTGTGTGTGTATCCAGCTCTCTCTTCTTCTGTTTTACACACAAGCACTGCTCCTGTCCATCATGGAGGCAACTAACGCACTCACACACGTCTCAGCTCAGTGGCTCTCACTCTTTCGTCACCCTCCTTCTTTCGTTTGCTCTTTCTCTTTTTATCCTACTGCTCTCTCTCTCTCTCTCTCTCTCTCCTCTCTCTCTCTAAGGGTTTCTCATACTCATTTCTGCCTTAACCACTTATACTCCAACAGTGGTGGCACTCTTGCACCAGATCACTATAGTGTAGTATGATGTTGCTATGATACACTATGATTTAGTGCATCATATAGCACATTTGGGGGCCAAATGTAAATCTCAGTAATTGTCTTTCTACTTTTTAAGTTGTTCAATTTATTAAATCTGCTTTAGTCAAATGGTTTAAAAATATGTGCTAACCAAATGGTACAAGGGTACCACATTTTATGGTAACCATAGTTGGGACACTCTAGTTCATGGGATGTCAATCTGGCCCAAATTCTGTGCAAAGCAAATACTGTTTGTCTTCACCAACTCAACACCGCAACAAACAGGTGCCCATGTTCAGTGGGAGATTACACTACAGTGAAGAATTTTTAATGACTGTGCTTCTTGCACTCTAGCTAGTGTTCAATATCAGGGCAGTGGTGGCTTGGTGGTTAAGGCTCTGGGTTACTGATCGGAAGGTCAGGGGTTCAAGCCCCAGCACTGCCAATCTGTCACTGTTGGGTCCTCCCAGCTAGGCCCTTAACCCTCTCTACTCCATGGGCGTTGTAATATGGCTGACCCTGCGCTCTGACCCCAACTTCCACACTAATTTATGAATATGTGATTAATAAAAGACTCACTATACACCATCGTCCCCAATCTACTGAGCCACTGTCAATTTTGTAGCATCAAGGTTTGACTTGTTGTGCCTTATGAGTTGCTTTTCTGCGCAGCATGGTTGTAAAGAGTGGTTATTTGCTTTACCATAGTTTTCCTGTCAGCTTGAAACAGTCTGGCTGTTCTCCTCTGACCTTACTTTTCAACAAAGGCATTTCCACCCAATGTTTTTTGTTTTTTGCACCATTTTGTGGAAACTCTTGTTTCTCTAGTTCCTGTCTGACACCAACAACCATGCCACAGTAAAAAAAAAAAACACACGCACACAAAAAATACAGAGAACGTCTGGGTAACCCTGTTCCCTGAGAAGGGAATGAGACGTTGCGTTTAGCATAACACTATGGGAGCGCCGCTTGTGTGCGACCAGCATCTCATGCTTGTGTAAAATCATGCCTATTTATAGGCCTGCCATGATCAGGAGACGTGGCAATTAAGCGTGTCACGTGATATAAATATGGCACCTGTGAACCGCGCCATCAGCCTCTATTATCTGAAGCGAAGACGCAATTCACAGGCCTGCCCTGGTATGACAATGCTACGCAAAGTCTTGTTCCCTTCTCAGGGAACAGGGTTACATGCATAACCCAGATGTTCCCTTTCAAAGTGAACTTCGACGTTGCGTTTAGCATAACACTATGGGAACGAAAATACCCACTCCGTCATGCTGAGGGTACGGCCTGTTCAAAAAGACCCAAGCCCGAGGGTCATTGCAGGACACTCGAGCCTGGGGTGGAATGAATATCCAGGCTGTAATAACGAACGAATGTGTGTGGCGTAGACCACCCTGCAGCAGCACACACATCTTGTAAGGATACCCCTTTGGACAAAGCCTTCACGGAGGTGACCGCCCTAGTGGATTGAGCCCTTATGCCCAGAGGCGTAACGAGAACGCACACCTCATAAGCAGTAGAGATAGATTCCACTGTCCAAATAGAGATACGCTCCAATTTACGCCACCGGCCAGAGCAGTGGACGTAAGTACAGAGAGACATAAGTACAGCTGTGTCCTTACTGGACACAGCAGGTGCATTCTCTCTTGTCTCGGTGTGGGGAATGGAGGAGGGCAGAAAGCCTGCAACACCACAGGGTGGGCAGCCGATGTAGGCACTTTAGGAATATAATCCGGCATAGGATACAGGAAGGCCAATGGCTAATCCTGGGGCAAAGTCAAGGCAGGAAGTGGCAACAGAGAGAGCTTGTAGATCTCCTACTCACTTGAGAGATGTCAGGGCCAGCAGAGAACTACCTTTAGAGTCAGAAGCTTCTCAGAGGCTGACTCTAAGGGCTCAAATAGGGTCCCTGACAGACCTTCCAGGACCACAGAAAGGTCCCAGGAAGGTATGTGCAGCCTGCAGACCAGCCTCAGCCGCCTGAAACCACGCATGAACCTCGAAGTTAGAGAATGTTGCCCCACAGAGGCTCCATCAACAGGGGCATGGCTGGCCGAAATGGCAGCCACGTAAACCCTAATTGTAAAAGGAGCCCACCGCGCTGAGAAACTTTCTTATAAGAACTCCAGGACTGTAGCTATTGCGCAGTTCACTGGGTCTAGCTGACATTCCTCACACCACAAGACAAAAAGCTGCCACTTGAGTGCATACAATTTCCTTGTGGATGGTGCTCTAACATTTAACATGATCTCTACAACCTCAGCTGTGAGACCAGAATCTATGAGCTGGTGCTCATCAGGGGCCAGACCCACAGTTTCCATAGTTCTGGCTGAGGGTGATAAATCCACTCTCAGGCTTGAGACAGTAGATCCACTATAAGGGCTCAAATAGGGCAACTGACAGACCTTTCAGGACCACAGAAAGGTGCCAGGAAAGTATGCACGGCCTGCAGATGGGCCTCAGCTACCTGACACCACGCATAAACCTCGAAGAGGATGCTGCCCCACAGAACTCCCTCAACAGGGGCGTGGCTGGCCGAAATGGCGGCCACGTAAACCCTGATTGTAGAAGGAGCCCACCCCACTGAGAAATGTTCTTGTAAGAACTCCAGGACTGTAGCTATTGTGCAGTTCGCCGAGTCTACAGTGTATCCCTGCAGATGGGAATCTCCCAAGGAGTGCCATCTAGCAGGGATATTATCTCTGAGAACCATACTCGAGCTGGCCAATAAGGTGCTACCAGCAGCAGACATAGACTGTTTTGGCGAACTCTCGCTAGAACTTGTGGGAGCAGAGGGATGGGGAGAAAAGTATACAGGTGCGACCTCGGCCACATGTGCACCATGGCATCCAGCCCTAATTCTGTGGGAGGAGTGAGGGCGAACCATAGCGGCCCGTGTGTTGTCTCCTCGGAGGTGAACACATGCACTCCCGCTTGGCCAAACTCGCCATATGGACTCCACCACTTGTGGATGAAGCCACCAATTCCTGGGCCTCAGCCCCTGCCTCAACAGGATGTCTGCCCCCATATTCCCAGGATGTACGTTGTACTCACTGACAAAATTTATGCATTACAAATTCCACTGCTAAATATGGGCCAGTGTGAAGTTTAAAATATTTGGTAAAGTGGATGGTATTTGTGTTTATGTGTGCATTTTGACCTACAAAGTGTATGGTAATCTTAACAACTCAACATGGTGGTGGTGCTTAGTCAATAATATTGATCAGCCAATAATCGATACTGCAGCAGTCCTTCTTTCAGCAGCAAATCCTAATGAGATCTTTGAGATCGAACAAGGTTACAACTTACACTAGCACTGCTCTGAGTTTCTCTGTCAGATTTATGTGTCCCTATATCACTCAGCATTATCAGCACTAATACCACAGCGCTGTCGAATTCTCCAATCAAAAGGTGTGGATTCATATTCTACAACAGCAGCCCTGACAATAGTTCCAGCTGTAACATATTAAATTGCATTCATATTAATGCAGATGTTCTACTACAGAACTTATAGTTTCTTAGAACAATGTGTTTTATACCTTTATGTAGCAGGTCTGATGAGTTTGAGACATAAAGACTGGGGGGCACAGTGGTGTAGTGGTTAGCATGTTTGCCTTGCACCTCCGGGGTTGGGGCTTCAAATTCCGCCTCCACCCTGTGTGCATGGAGCTTGCATGTTCTCCCCATGTTTTGGGGGTTTCCTCCCCCAGTCCAGAGACATGTGTTGTAGACATGCATTTCCAATTTGTCCATAGTATGTGTGTGCAATGTTTTGGCACACCGTCCAGGGTGTTCCCCACCTTGTTTACTGAGTACCCTGGGATAGATCCTGCGATCCCCAACCTTTTTTGCGCCACGGACCGGTTTAATATCAGACAATATTTTCACGGACCGGCCTTTAAGGTGTGGCGGTTAAATACAACAAAATAAAATTATAGGACCGGCAGAAAAACTGGGGTATTTTTAAAATATAATAATAAACGTGAATCCAATGTGAAATTGCAACTTTATTAGCAGCGTCCTCGTAACATCGTCTCTCCCCCCTAACGCTCTCTGGTCTCTATGGTAACGTTTCAACGTATCACGTGACCGAGACAAGCGTCTTGACATGCGTCAAGAGTGAGTCGTAGAAGGATGTAACGGAGAGAATCCGGTCATTTTTCAGATCCAGATAATAAATAAAACGGAAATAATGTAAGTTATTTATTCTTTCTGTGCGTCCCGGTACCAAATGACCCACGGACCGGTACCGGTCCACGGACCGGGGGTTGGGGACCGCTGCTGTATAGGATAAGGGTACAGATGGATGGATTTGAGACAGACAACTGAAGTTGTAGTCAGTACATTCAGCCGTGTGTTGAATACTTCGCCCTCATCACTAACTGAGACCATGCTGATGTACGAGAAGATTAGCACACCTCATACCACCATCATATCGCTGAGAAATGTAAGTACAAGTATCATGTTGGCCCTGTTGAGCCACAGCAGAACTGTTTAAACATCCAGCATCCTCAGTGGACACACACACACACACACACACACACATCACATGAAGCTATAAGCAACCTCTCTCAAAGCGTTAGGCCAAAGGGATGTTAAAAATGGGTCACACACACACACACACACACACACACACACACACTACTGAACTGTGCCTTCTAAAAAAGGAAGGCTAAAAAACTAGGGATGTTATTTTTAGATGACAGAATGATTCATCCCACTATGCTGTTTTTCATTAGGAATTTGAAAATCACCAGTGGACGACTCTCTGAAAACTAACCAGAGTCTCTGACCATCATCCACCATCGCCTTAAAGGTTGTACTGTACCAGAAATTCTATTCACACTGCCTATCGAGTTTTTGAACATCTGTATTAAGAACAGAAATTACAAGCAGGAAATAGGCACTTTTTGCAAACAATAATAATGAACTCATAATTATGAACACTAAAACAAATCAAATTTTATACTAACTTGCAGTCTTACAGTAACTAGTCACCAAACAAATGCATTCGCCTTCAGGCTCATGAAATACTCTCAATAGAATCCGATGGTAGAAGAGCGCACGTCAGGGTGCGCAACTAAAATTGACGTTTTCATTTACTATGGCCTTATCTCATCACGCAAAGTGATGTCCTGCTGAATGCACTCTCCATGAAGGGCAAAATGTTTAAAACCCAACGTGAGGCAGTAAAAATGGTCAACCGGAGAACTGAGCTCAGAAAGCTTGGGATGAAGATCAAAGGAGGTTTTCATTACATGAAGACTCCTCTCGAGGACAAGTAAACAGTGTGGAGAACATTACTACGTCTATTATGCAATTTGATTACTAATTGGTTTTGATGAAAAGGCTGATGTGTACAGAATAAGATAGCTACTTCAAATAAAAGTGTGCAATTAAACTGCAATCCATTTTTTCTAGTGGTCGAATTGTGGTCTGTTGAATTTCTTTGTTACGTTTCAGAAAATCTGATGTATGTGTTTCCGACTTATGTGCTACAACCACTGTTGCCAGTTTTGTCTGATAAAAGCAGCCCGATGGATAAGCAGTATTAAACACGTTATTTCCCTAAATAGCTTTTCCGCCAATGTCTTATAGCTCATATTATAAGAATGGATTAAAAAAAGTGTGCAGACACGTGAAAAAGTAGCCCAATACTGAGGTAACACCACGTACAAAGCTCTGAGCAACACACTTGGCAGTAATTTACACCTAGAATTGAGAGGCGGATAAAACTATGCACAAAACGGGCCACTTCTAAGTGGCCAAAGTTCAGTACATCAAATGAAATATGTCATCTCTCTTTTTGGAGATGCTTTTCTCCTCACCATGATTGTAACAAGTGGCTCTTACTTTTAGCATAGACTACCTGTCAGCTCCAATCAGTCTGGCCATTCTCCTCTGTTTCTGCCAACAGAAATGCCGCTCACTGGATGATTTTCTTTTCTCTCCACCATTCCTCCATTTGTGAAACAATTTTTTGGCACCAAAAACCATGCCACTGTCAAAATCACTGACAGATCACATTTTTTGATGTGAACTTTAACTAAAGCTGCTGCCACATGACTGGCTGATTAAATAATTGCTTGAATGAGCAGGTGTGTACAGGTCTGTCTAATAAACTGGTCATTGAGTGTATATCAGTTGCTTTAGGGTGCCTGAACCTAGGCAAAAAATCTGGGCAAAAAATTCTGAAAAATCCCCAGTAACACTTGGGCCACAAACCAGTTACACATAATTATATTTTTATATGACGTTTGGTGGGCATGTGCGATGTGTAGTTTAGTGCAGTGTCAGGGTGGTGTATCAGTCAATACTGAATCTCATTAAGATAACACTAGACTTGTTGGTCAGTAGCAGCATCTCTGGTTTCATCAACTGGGCCGATGTTTTGTCCCATAAATCGTAGTGGTCACATTTCCTGGATTAGAGGCCTGAGTTCTTCCCAAAGTACCCGATAAGAATCAATACCACCACATACTATTCAACGGAGATGTTTTTACCCATCATTCTTTGCATGATAGCCACAGAGTTGACCTGAATCTTTACAATAGGAATACGTGAGATGAATGGGTCTGTCTCATTTGCAGTAACAGAATGAATAAAAGCTTTCATTTTTACAACCTTGGAATTCAGCCTACTTTTTATCTGATCCATCAGTAGTGTTCAGTGAAGCAGGGCTCAGCTGAGGGACACACAGGTTTGAAGGAGAATTGAATGAAATAACTGATTAGGTATAAAATAACTTACTAAGCCAGCTGGGGTTAGTTAACATGTGTTCAAAATCTTTCTAAGGAATAAGTGCTGTCAGCTTTCTGAATGAGGATCAGCACATTATTGCGATTTATTTAAAACTCATATAAAAAAAGGATACATTCACATTTCATTTGTACACGTTTGCGATTGCTTTGTAGCCTACTAATCTGCTCTGGTGCTCTTGACACAATTCCGGTATCAGCCTGGGAATCGAGAGCTCCAGTTCTCTAGAACAACCTGTGTTCATGAGTGTCGAGCACATTTCACACTGCAACTGGAACCAGAGCTTATTGTTCCAACAACATTTTAAACAAGCCTTATATCTAGTTCCAGTTTAGGTATAGTCCATTGACATTATTGTGGCACCCTTCATGAAAAATACAGTGAGTCGTCTTCAGTAAGCACTATTTCATGGTTAGGCTTGTGGTGGATTCCGAGAGTATACTGGGAACATTGGGCATGAGGTGGTAAGACATTCTGATTGGAACAAGACACCATGAATACACACATTCATTCACTTACTACTAACGGCAATTTAGAGTCCATAATGAACTTCCGAACCTGACAGAACCTGGAGCTGTTTCTAGGATGGCATCTAATAGTTCACTTTATAATAGTTATTTTTTTATTATGGTGCTGTTTTTTTTTATATATATAATCATTACCAGACTTATGCATAACAACAATCTATTACTTTTGTTTTGAAAACCTCTGGTTTTCATAACCAGATGTGATGTTATCATAGTGTCATCATAGTGATGTATGATGAGGGCATTTTACATGCATGCAGCTTCATATGTGCTTAAAAACAGAGGAACTAAGAACAAAAATGAAGGAAGATTCATTTCGGAGTGTCCATGATTTTGCCAGGTACGTATTTGAAAGAACATATTACGTAACTGCAGAAGAAAGTAATTTCTCTCGTTGTCTGAAATGGAACACTTCAGTCAACATGTGTAATGTTTAGAAGAATTAGGATCAGTTAAGAGATTTAGTTTTGCTCGTTTGTTTGAAGGGTGCCAATAATTCTGAAGTTGGATGTGTTAGTTATATTACCACTGTGTAAGTATGCTTACATACAGCCAGTGGCATATACCAAACGCTTGAAAGAAAACAACTTCCTCTATCAATGATTAATGTTTATATGCAATATCCTTTAAAAAAGAGAGAGAGAGGGAGAGAGATGGATAGATAGATAGATAGATAGATAGACAGATAGATAGATAGATAGATAGATAGATAGATAGATAGATAGACAGACAGACAGACAGACAGACAGACAGACAGATAGATAGACAGACAGACAGACAGACAGACAGACAGACAGACAGACAGACAGACAGACAGACAGACAGGACAGACAGACAGAGAGAGAGAGATAGATAGATAGATAGAGAGATAGACAGAGATAGACAGATAAGATAGATAGAGAGATAGAGAGTATATAGATGATAGATAGATAGATAGATAGATAAGATAGATAGATAGATAGATAGATAGATAGATAGAGAGATAGAGATAGATAGATAGATAGATAGAATAGATAGATAGATAGATAGATAGATAGATATATAGATAGATAGATAGATAAGATAGATAGAGAGATAGAGAGATAGATAGAGAGATAGATAGATAGATAGATAAAGATAGATAGATAGAATAGATAGATAATAATAGATAGATAGATAGAGATAAGATAGATAGATAGATAGATAGATAGATAGATAGAGAGAGATAGACAGATAGATAGATAGATAGATATATATATAAGATAGATAGAGAGAGAGAGAGAGAGAGATAGAGAGAGAGAGAGAGAGATATGACAGATAGGATAGATAGATAGATAGATAGATAGATAGAGAGAGAGAGAAGATAGCAAGATAGCAGATAATAGATAGAT